GCGCCGCTCCGGGACCCCCGGGCGCCTCCTGGGCGCAGGAGGGCGCCGGGGCAGAGACTGGCGCTGGGGCCCAGAACCGGGTTTTCCAGCCCCTCTGGAGTCCGGGGAGCGGCCGAGCCACGGCGACCGCCCCGTCGGCGCGCCCCTTTTCCCACTGTCCGTCAGCGCTCCCCCCCCATCCCGGCCGGCCGCGCCCCTTTGTCTCGGCCTCTCCTCTAGATCCTCCCGCACCCCTTGGCCTCCGTGGCTCTTCCTCACCCCCCCCCCCAGCCTCTTTTGAGGACTAGCCCCGCCACCCTTGCTTGGCGTCCTCCGGGGCGGGCCGAGCTGCCTTGGGGAGAGGCTCGGCGTCTCCCCCAGGACCCCCGGCCCTCCCCCACCTCGCGCCCTACTTCTCGGGGGGCTGGCGGGACCCCTCTGTCCTGCGGATGGGACGGTGCCTGGAGGCCGGAAAGGGGGCGCCCGGAGGCTGCGTGGGGAGCGCGGGGGCCGTTGGGGGGAGGGGGGCTGCCGGGCTGGGGGAGGGGCGGGACGGGGCTGGCAGCCAGGCCGGGGGTTTTGTGTGTGAGAAGAATAGGGGTTTGGCCCGCGTTGGCACACTCGCTTCCCTGAATGCTAATGGGCACTTCCCTGCGGGCCGCCGGCCTCTCCTCCGACCCCAGCGGCCGGGGCTGGGCTGGGGGGGCGTCCACGGCCAGGCCTCAGGCCGTCGGGCAGGAGTGTCTGCAGCCCAGCCCGTGTCCTTCGGGTGGTCACCGCACAGTGACCCCGAGTCTGTGCGTGTGTGGGCCGGAGGGACGCCCTGGACCGCCCTGGGCCTTCCGGCCCTCTTCTCCCGCACCCTCTTGGACATCGCGACTTCTGAGGGTCATTTCTGAGCTCCCCTGTCTGGGCAGGGCCCCCTTTGGGGTTCTCTTGACACCTCTGGCACCTCTATCTTGTCCTCTGCTGACCACTTTTTTGTCTTCCTACCCTGGCTGCATTTAAGGGAGGTACCCTTGTTTACAAAGATTATGGACTGACCCACTGAATGAATGAATGAATGAATGATGAACAGTGGTGTCATTTGCCTAGTTGTATGTATCTTTTGTCACCCGTAGAGTGTGAGTGTGTGATCACAACTGTGTCCTAAGGATCCTGTGCCCTGTGCTTTTGGGATGGGTCCCCCGTGAGACGTGTGTTTGTGTGTGTGTGTATGACAAGCCCCTGTTAAACTAGTAGCATGGCTGTTAGTGCACACATGCACACATGGTGGAAGGGGGAATGGGGCTTAGACAAGTTCTAGATAGAGATTGCAGAGCTGAGGAGACCTTCCTCTGTCCCAGGAAGTGAGGTGAGGACGAAGGCTCAGACAACATCACACACACACACACACACACACAACACACGAGCTCTCCCTGCAGGAATTGAATCTCTTCCCTCCCTGCCCCCCACCTCTTGCATACATTTTTATGAAGCCTCAGCCCCAGGCTGAGCCAACCATTCCCCATTTGGTTGGCTGGCAGAAATGTATAAGTTGTGTGTGAGGGGCTGAGAAGCGGGCATCCCCAACCCCCACCCTGCCCACCAGCTGCAGCCAGGAGACGCCGCCCACAGCCTCCTGGAAGCTGGGCTGCCCCGCCTGCTTCCCTGGAAACGGTTGCTGGGCTTGGAGCCTCCAGCACCTCTGCCCCAGTGCAGCTTTCTCCAGACCAGGCTTCGCCTCCCGCCTTCTAACCCAGCACCCCTTGGTCCCCTGGGAGGGCCAAGAAGCAGCTTTGCAGAAACGGGCCTTATGGAGACTCTGGGGGCTCCTCTCCTGTCCCTTGAGGTTTCTGAATGCAAGGGACTCCCCGAAGCAGTGAGTGGAGAGGAGAAGCCGCCCGTGACAGTGGTCACAGTGGGCAGCTCGCTGGGCTGCACTACCCACTCATGGCTCTGGGGGAACTCTCACAGCTTGGACCCACAAAATGTGTTTTCTTCTCCGTCCTCTCTGCCCCAGTAAGGCTCTCCCTGCCTTCTGGCCACTGACTGAGAGGTGGTAATTTGCCTGGTCCTGGCAGGAGGAAAGTGTCCCTCACCCCTCTTCCAACCCCAGCCCACCCCTCACTGTGTCCCCAGACACTCTCTGATCTCCCCAGAGGTCTGGGGCGACCTGGAGGGCAGAGGCTGGCTGGGCGCCTCTCTCGGGAGTCTGCAGCAGGAGCCTGGGCTGGACAGCCGCACTCCGGTGGATGATGAATGAGGGGCTCGGCTGTGCTGGTTGCTGAGGCCCCTTTGGGAGTCAGAGCGCAGAGATGCTCAAGCCTGACTCATGGCCCCAAAGGCCACAGCTGGCAGCATGCCTGTCCCTTGGGTATTGCTGACCTGGACAGAGATCCTGGGAAGCTGTCCCCAGGCGGGGTCTCGGTAAAGAGGCCACTCAGCCTGTCCTTTGTACTCCATCTAACCTTCCCTCTTCCTTTCTCTCCTCCTCTGGCCCTTTCCCTCTCAGGGGAGTATGCTGAGGGAGTCAGTGAGCGAGACGTGCTGCTCATCCACTCCTGCCGCCAGTGGACAACGGTGACAGCCCATGCGCTGGAGGAGGGCCACTATGTCATCGGGCCCAAGATCGACATTCCCCTGCAGTACCCAGGTGTGCCCAGTCAGGGTCAGATGGCCCAAAGCCTGGAGGGAGGCCGAGGTGGGCTGCACGTGAAGGCATGTGGGGAAAGCTAATGATGAGCACCTTTCTTGTCGCTTCCGGGGAGAGTAAGCGAGGACATGGCTAGCAGGGTGCTGATATTGCTATAGTTAGTTAGGGTCCAGGGGTTTTCATTCTGTTCTGTTCTGTGAGGTGAGGCCTTGGGTTGCTGGAGAGGAGGAGGCCCTCGGGTTTGCAGACCTTTGGTTCCCATTTTATTTTTAAACATATTTTAAAGTAATGATTAAGTAAGGTCTTACCACCCGGCCAGGTACCATGGCTCATGTCTCTACAATCCTACCTACTCAAGAGGTTGATCTGAGGATTTCGGTTCAAAGTAAGCCTGGGCAGACAGATCCAGGAGTCTTTTATTGCTAGTAGCAACAAACTGGAAGTGGTGGTGTGGCTCAAGTGGTAGAATGCCATCTGTGAGTGGAAAAAGCTATGGGAGAGCGTGAAGTCCTGCGTTCAAGCTCCAGACAGGCACACGTACAAAAACGCCTGCTCCTAGTTGGAGACCTCTAGAGTGTGTCTTGTGTTGCTTTAATGACTCTTGTTGGAGAGCATTCCTCTAGATAACATCCACTGGGATCTTCTCTGCCCATAACTCCAGCACTTGTGTGGCTGAGATGGGGATTGTGCTTTCCAAGCCACTTGGGGCTTGTTCCAATAATAAAAAACTAAAACCAAACCGAAAACTACTTCAGAAACTAAGGCTGTTTTGTGGCTACCTTAGTCAGCTCTGATCTCATTTTGTGTTTTTATGTTAAATTCCTTGGCATTAATTGGTTTTCGAAATAAATGTTAGAAGTTCTTTTAGATTTTTTAAGACTATGGGACTGGGAAGGTCGCTCAGTGGTAGAATGCTTGCCTTGCATGCATGAGGCCCTGGGTTCGATTCCTCAACACTACATAAGCAGAAAAAGAAAAGGCGGAAGTGGCGCTGTGGCTCAAGTGGTAGAGCACTAGCCTTGAGCTGAAGAGCTGAGGGACAGTGCCCAGGCCCAGAGTTCAGACCCCACGACTGGGCCCCTCCCCCCCCAAAAAAAGACTACGCAAATGAACTCCTTCTGTGTTTTATTTTTTTGTCGGTTGTGGGCCTGAACTCTGGGCCTGGGCGCTGTCCCTCAGCTCTTCAGCTCAAGGCTAGCGCTCTACCACTTGAGCCACAGTACCACTTCCGGCTTTTTCTGCTTATGTGGTGCTGAAGAATCGAACCCAGGGCCTCATGCATGCAAGGCAAGCATTCTACCACTGAGCCACCTTCCCAGCCCTCCTTCTGTGTTTTATATATGACATTGACGTATAAGATTTTAAAGGGAGGATCTGGTGTTGGAGGAAAGGAAGTCCAGCTTTCATTTCACAGATGATGAGCCGTAGGGTATAAGGAGGGCAGGAAGTTCCTCTCCTGGGTTGCCCTGTGGGTGGAGGAAGGGAAGGGAAGGGGCTGGAACCTGACCATTGGTGCCTGCTGTAGCATGCCAGGAACCCTGGGCTGGACCTGGTAGCCCCGTCCCAGAGATACCCCCTGCAAGCCCAGGGACTGAGCCAGTGCATCATCGTCTCATCCTCACCACCAACCTGCAGCTTAGGAGGAAACTGAGCCACCCATGCCTCCACAGTAGCCCAGTTCTGTGGTTTTCACTGCTGTGGGACACTCCCATCCCACTCCCCAGCCAAGGCTGGGAGCCCTGGGAACTAGGAAGGTAAACAGTCCCTTCCTTGGCAGCGCCACGGCCCCCTCTGGCTCAGGGTTCCCCAGTCAGTGGTACAGGGCCAGGCCCTTTTCACAGGCTTAGGCTCTTTCAGCACATGAGTGGGAGTGGAGGTGTGGGGAAGCTATATGGGTCAGTGCCTCCATCCCTCCCACACTTCCATGAAAGCTGGAAGAAACCACCTGGGCCAGAGGCAGGGGCTTCCTGACCTGGTGTTCTGTCCTGGGCCTGCAGACATTCAGAACTTGATCCGACTAGAAATTTCCCAGCCTGAGACTTTGGCTTTGGCATTGGTTTAGGGGAGAGGCCCCAGGTTTTCTTAGAGGACACACACACACACACACACACCATACACAACACACACACACACATACCATACACAAAGCCTGAGCATTCCTTGGTAAATATTTACACACATATTTATACAGTTGGGGATAGACTTTATTTGCAGAAATGTGGCTCTGACTTTTGGGACGGGTGACCACTTCAACTGTGTACCTAAAACTCTGGGAAGGCAAAGCACTAAAGTCCCCTAGGAAACCTTGTATGGGTCCAGAGACTCCCCCCTCCCCCTTCCTCTCTTTTAGTGCCCTCTATGGGCACTGTGTATAGAGTGGGCTATGGGGCAACAGCTGGCTAGTGGGAGTGGCTACAGCCTGGTCCCCCATGGTCCCTCCCTGGCTTGCATGGGGGTGGGGAGGGGCCTGCCACTAGTTAACAAGGAGGCTCTGAGGGCAGCTCCATGCAGAGCCCTCTCTCCTGATGAATGAATAATGACGCTTGGGGTGCAGTGGCCAGCTGGTTGCGGACCCAAGGCCAGTGGGGGATGGGATGGGGGGGAGTGGGGGCGCTGTGTAGTAACCCTTTTCTGCAGGCTGTGGTCAGCCACTCTGGGGGCCCAGGAGATCTGCCCTCTAAGACAGACCCAGCCCTTGCTGTGGGGAGGGGAGGGGAGCCTGACATCTTCCTCAAGTGCATCTACTTCCCCAATAATGGCCTTGGGCTAATGGAAACCAAAGCCCAGAGATTACATAATTTGTCCAGGGTCATTCAGCGAGTTGGTGCAGAGCTGAGATCCAGCCAGCACTGTCCAACTTCTAAAGCCTGTGTTCCCACAAGTTAAAATTTTTTTTCCAGTTGTTTTATTCCCTGGGGCTGGGTACTGTCTGGGCCTTGAGCATGCTGGGCCAGTGCTCTACCCCTGAGGGGTGCTGTGGGTCAGGTGTGGGGAGGAGATGGGGCCCCATTTGCTGCAGTGCCCAAGATGGTCAGTCTGGAAAGGAGGATCAGGGTGAGGGTGAGGGGAAGGGAGGACACAGTCCCGAGAGCCCTGAGGACTCTGAGGAAGCTGCAGGGCCGAGAAGGCTTCCTGGGGCCAGAGCATCGCTCCCAGGAGGGCTCCCTTCCTTCCTCCCCACATCAGAGACGTGCTGCCAGCTCCGGGAGGCTGAAGGGGCGGTGCTGGCTGCCATGGTTACATCGATCTTCCCAGCCACATCCCCACTTCCCCTGCTCCAGCCCCGACTTGGCTCCACACTGCCCCACTGGGGCAGCGGACATTTTCCCCTGCCTGGCTGCTGGCGTGACATGTGTGTCGGTACGGGTGCGGGTGCGTGTGTGTGCATGGCTGCTCACCGTCACAGGCAGGTCTAGGACTTAGCAGCCCTCTTCCCTCACTCCAAGCCTTTTCCCCCGAGTGCCCCTCTCCCTCCCTTCTTCCCTCTCCGGCAGCTCTGGGGATTGAACTCAGGGACTTGCACTGTGGACAAGCACCACCCTACTCCAACCACGCCTGCAGTCCTTTTGTTTTTCAGACAGTGAGTTTCTTCTTATTGCCAAGTCTGGTCTAGCTTGGACTCACTAATTCCTACCTCCACCTCCCTAGTAGCTGAGATTACCGCACATATCACCACCTATGGCAAAGGTGTCATTTCTTGCAGAAAAAAAATCCCTACATCTCAGCATGGCATTCAGAGGCTTTCTAAATCTGAACAGCGGTCTGCTCATTTTCCTGCCCTTCCTTCAGCCCCTCACAGTCTTGGGCAGGCCATCTGCTTTGTGTCCACATCACTGCCATGCCATTTCTTTGAACGTCTTCGAGCAGCACACACACTCTGCAAAGTGTCTTTCCTTCTTAAAGTACTCAGTGATGTACACAGAGTCTACTCTACAGGTTTCTCTTGTCCCGTAGGTCCTCTCGCTCTTTTGCCATGTCTGCCTGAACATGGGTTGCTTTCATTGGTACTCGAGGTCTCACCCACTGTGCCTGGAGCACAGACTGTTTATACAACTAGGTAGTGATTGACAGGTAGTGCATTCATTGCGTGAATGGTTTTGGAGTAACTGAGTGAACTATGATGCAACAAGCTGCAGGAGGACTACAGAAGCTGAAGGTTACCTACCGAATCTCCATCTGTTGTTCCCTTGCCTATTCCAGGCTCTTCTACTATACAAAGCCCGGGAAGAGGCCCACTACCAACGCCAGGGTGTTCCCAGCCTGCTTTGTGCTCATGTGGGTGGGCACAGTGGGTAGCCAGTGAGGCTAGAGTTTAGATGCAGTGTCAGCTTCATGGATTAGCATCTCCTCAAGCGTGTGTCTACTGAGCACTTGCTGAGTTGGCAAATTGGCTAGCTGCAGGTTAGGACAGCTCCTCTCAGGCAGGTGCCTTTGTGGGCTCAGGTCAGAGGCAAAGTGGCATTGGATGTTGGCCTGCTCAGGGTCTGGGAACACAGCCGGGTGGGAGTAGCTCTCCCTGAGCCTCAAAGGCCTGGGGCTGGGCACTGCATCTGTGTGGACCAGCAACCCAGGGTGGATGCCCAGAAGGCCAGAGCTAGGTAAGGCATATCCATCCCAGCCCTGGTAAAGGAAGACCTGTAGTGCCAACGAAGGGAGGGATTTGGCTGAGATCACACACACACGGTGCAAAATGCCCCCCCCTCCCATGCACAGGTAGCTCTGGGTGGTTTACAAATTCTTTTCTTATGGTCCAGAGGTTGGGTTGGGACCAAGCTTGGAGGCAGTTCCCTCGTGCCATGCAAACACCAGCGTCACAGCCACATGTGTGGGGCTGATCTGCAGTTGGGTATGTTGGGGCAGGCAGCTTAACCTCTCTGTACATCCAGAGAATGCACACCCAGAGAATGTCTGCACATAGCTTCTCTGCACACCCAGAGAATGGAATGTCTGGGCTCTACTTGTTCACCTTCTACCTGAGGCTTGAGCCAGATGACCAAGCCATTGTCACCTGTGAGAGGTCACACACACCTGTCCACCTGGGTTCCAGAGGTACTGGCAAAAGTGGAGGTAGCCAGGGGCTCCTGGGATGCAAAGCAGGCCCCAGCAGATAAGCCCACCCAACAGTCCATGTTCTCCTGTACAGGGAAGTTCAAGCTCCTGGAGCAGGCCCGGGATGTGCGGGAGCCAGTGAGGTACTTCAGCAGCGTGGAGGAGGTGGCCAGTGTCTTCCCTGACCGCATCTTCGTGATGGAAGCTATCACTTTCAGTGTCAAGGTCAGTCCTGCTGCCAGGCACAGCCTGTCCACACCTCTACTTCAGGGGCAACTCTGAAGATTGCTGTCCTTAAGTCTTTGAGGGCCTTTGGGACAATTAGTCCAGACCCAAAGAACAAGGGTGTGAGACCCACAGGGTGGAAGGACTTTCTGAAGAAGCGATGTGTGTGTAGTCACATTCCTGTTTTCCCAGCATGCATGGGGGTGGAAGCAGGGCAGAGTGGGGGTGGCTTTGAGCACCCTTGTGTGTTCAGACAGCTCCTGCTATTCACAAAGCCTTTTCTTAGGGGCTGGGAAGGTGGCTCAGTGGTAGAGTGCTTGCCTTGCATGCATGAGGCCCTGGGTTCGATTCCTCAGCACCACATAAGCAGGAAAAAAAAGCGGAAGTGACGCTGTGACTCAAGTGGTAGAGCGCTAGCCTTGAGCTGAAGAGCTGAGGGACAGCGCCCAGGCCCAGAGTTCAGGCCCACGACTGGACCCCCCCCCCAAAAAAAAATCCCAAACCTTTTCTTATCAGTTTCTCCTCCTCCAATGGGTGGGTCAGTATTATCACCCCAATTGTGAAGATGATGTAATAAAATTTGCTGCTGACTGAATGCTTTCAAAGTACCTCCATATAGTACAGCAGGAGTTATCACATGAAGTAACCAGCCCCAGAGCAACCTATTTAAAGCTGCAGAGATGAGGGGACTTGGTCTCCCAGATGGCAGGTCGCAGCCAGTGCCCTCAGAGCGCTGCTCATTTGCCCTGGAAGACCCTGCGTGACAGGCATGTGGCTTTCCTTGGGTCCCTGGCTAAGGCTTCGCCTGGTCTCTGGGATCCCCAGGTGGTATCGGGCGAGTTCAGCGAGGACAGCGAGGTGTACAACTTCACGCTGCACGCGGGCGACGAGCTCACGCTCATGGGCCAGGCGGAGATCCTGTGCGCCAAGACCACCAAGGAGCGCTCGCGCTTCACCACGCTGCTGCGCAAGCTGGGCCGCGCCGGGGCGCTGGCCGGGGTGGGCGGCCCGGGCGCGGCGGGCGCCGCAAACAGCGGCAGCGCCAGGCCTGTCAAAGGCAAGATGCCCTGCCTCATCTGCATGAACCATCGCACCAACGAGAGCCTGAGCCTGCCCTTCCAGTGCCAGGGCCGCTTCAGCACGCGCAGCCCGCTGGAGCTGCAGATGCAGGAGGGCGAGCACACGGTGCGCGCCATCATCGAGCGCGTGCGGCTGCCGGTGAACGTGCTGGTGCCCAGCCGACCGCCGCGCAATCCCTACGACCTGCACCCGGTGCGCGAGGGCCACTGCTACAAGCTGGTCAGCATCATCTCCAAGACGGTGGTGCTGGGGCTGGCGCTGCGCCGCGAGGGCCCCGCGCCCCTGCATTTCCTGCTGCTCACCGACACGCCGCGCTTCGCGCTGCCCCAGGGGCTGCTGGCCGGGGACCCGCGCGTCGAGCGCCTGGTACGCGACAGCGCCTCCTACTGTCGCGAGCGCTTCGACCCCGACGAGTACTCCAC